TTTTTGTGGTAGTGCAGCGCTCAGCCTCCGTGTCAGTGTTACTTTCTGCTCACTGTGGGTTTGACCGAGTTGTGCTAAAATGAAGAACTAATTCAAGATAAGGTCGAGCACAGGAGCTGTGGTAAAAGCCACTGAAAACATATTAAAAAGTACTAATAAAATGAAGACTTGAGCGGAGACACTCAAGTATTTTACACATGCAAATAATTGGTTTTTATTTTTCAGTCGTTTATTTGAAGTTTTATGATTTGAATAAACTCAGTGCACACAGAATAAGAGTTCTTTTCACACACAGTAACACATGTACTTTGGGTTTACTTTGGGGGTAAGTGAAACTACAGACTTTTTTGAAGTAAAACTCAAAATGAACGAGTTTTGTTTTTACATTTTAAAGATGGTAAAAAATTATATAAAAATAAATGTTTTTTACTGTGTCTCATGTTTTAACCCTGTTCCTCATCAGAAACACGCCTGAGGAGGTTGGACATGTCATCCATGTTTGAGGGCTTTACTTTTGACAGTCTCGCTCCTGATTGGCTCATTGGTTGCAATGACAACCGACAAGTGTGAGACAGAATGACAAAGTATTTGTGTTTTTTTCAACTAGTTTCACATATTACGAGAAAAACACAAACCATCAAGATAGAGGAACATGTTAAGAAACAAGACTCTCAAAGAGCAAACTCAGACCAGACTCAGACCAGACTCAGACCAGACTCAGTCCTGATTCAGTCCTGATTCGATCTTGGTTCGGTCTTGGTTCGGTTCTGGTTCTCGAACATGTTTCTCAGGGTGCTGCTTCAGTCCCTGTGGTGTTGGGGTGAGTTCTGGCTCTTCTTCTTCTTCACAGACTTTATTTGCTGTAAAATCTGTTATTTTGAGGTGGTTTTATTTTAAAAAGTGATCTCTTGTGTCAGTCTTCAGGCAGTTATTCATATATTAAAGTCAGATCATGTCGGAGTGTGTCGTGGCTCGTCGGTGTCGTCCCAGCGCTGGTTTGGCGTCAGTATTTGTGTGTCAAAGCTCCACACGGCATCTGTGCTCTTGCTCTAACACCTGTTTGGAGACTGAGACACTGGGACATGTTTTATTCACCATCATTCACCAGAATATGTGTGTGGTGTTAAATGTGCAGATTTACTGAGGCCAGAAGTCTGGGGCTACATTTCCACAGAGCCGGGGTGTTGACAAACGAATATTTCCCTCCCTCTGTTTTCCAAAATCACATCGTGCACACGGCATCGTTTTCAAAAATGTTTTCGTTTACATCGAGCCGCATAAATCCTCCATCGAGCGCTGTCATAACTACACCGAGCCTCTGGGCGGCGCCTGGATTAGATTCAAACCTGTAGCTTTTATTTCATTACAGTTGTTAAGTTTTACTCTCGAGTATGTTTAAAATGGTGCATTAGTGAGCGGCTCGCCTCTCCACAGATCTGATAAAGCCTCATTAGTCTCTGGTCATGGACCTGATGCAACAGCTGTGTGCAAATGAAACACATGAAAAGTGTTTCAGCACAGTGACTGATGCTCTGATGCTTCATCATCATCATCACCCTCCTCCTCCTCCTCATCATCATCACTAAAGGGAAACACTGGTCGCACTTTTGGCGTCAGCTCCTAAAACTCTGTTTGTCTCACTTTACACACAAACGCCAAACCAGAGTTTCCAGAATCTCCACTGTAGCCTGAGATTTTAGAAAGATTCATTTTCAGAGGCGAGTTTGCCGTCTGCGTGTACAAAATGTGTCTGTTTTTAAAAATACCCGTGTACATGTGAACAGGGCCTAAAAACTAGGGTTAAAAAGAGCATAATGTGGTAACAATAAAATAAAATAAAAAATTACAATCATGTGACAAAGAGGGCCTTTGTCCCTGTTTTTTCACTTTTTTATTTCATTTACATCTATGTCAAGTCAACTAAACAGCTAAATAATACCATCCCGGGTTTGTTTTATTTAGTCTTTGTTTAGTTCAGTTAATCACTATGCACACAGTTACTTTAAATTCATTTTATTTGGTTATATCTATTCATTTGCTTATTGATTTACCACCTCACCTGTGACTGCACATGGTCTGGAGACAAAGAGGGGCGTGAGTATCGGCAGTCATATTTAAAGGCTCTGGGAGAGGTGTTGGCCCCGTCCATGTGGAGGGAAGCCACAGATTCAGTTCTTTTTGTTTAATGAAATTGGTTTCAGTGTTTCTAGCTTATTTGGAGCACTGTTTCATTTAAAGGGGATTGAAGCCCTCAGCCAAGAATTCTATGTTGCACACCAAACAAACAGTTAAGTCCAACTAACCTGTGAGTTGGGGAGAACCCAGGGCGAGAGACTTCCTTTCTGGGCAGTATAAAAGGGAAGCAGTTGAACCAGTCAGGGGAATCCCCATCAGTGCAGCCGGGTGCACGTGGGGTATTTTCTTTTGTTCCGTTAATTTCTGTTGCTTTTGCTTTATTTAAGCACAGTTATTTTTTGTAAATATGTATTTTCATTTTGCCCACAACTCGGTGAAGGATGAAATAAAAAATTTTTGGTAAAGGGACATTTTTCCGTATGCCTCCCTCTTCGACTACTTTGGCCAGCTTCCCCACAAATCAGTTAAGGATAATAAAACTCTGAAGAAAACGAGTGAAAATGTACCAAATGGAAAATAAAGAAAAAAACAAAATACTAAAACCAAGTCCAGTGTGAACAAGAATGTGTGTTGGAGGCAAGTGTGATAGTCCAGGTTTTGTATAGAACAGATGTAATACAGATCATCAAATCCAGCGCCTGGTCCTGAGAGATAGGGTGAGGAGCTCAGTCACACGGGAGGAGCTCGGAGTAGAGCCGCTGCTCCTCCACGTCGAGAGGAGCCAGTTGTGGCTCGGGCATCTGTTCCGGATGCCTCCTGGACGCCTCCCTCGGGAGGTGTTCCGGGCATGTCCCACCGGGAGGAGGCCCTGGGGAAGACCCAGGACACGCTGGAGGGACTATGTCTCTGGGCTGGCCTGGGAACGCCTCGGGGTCCCCCTGGAAGAGCTGGAGGACGTGTGTGTGGAGAGGGAAGTCTGGGAGGTCCTCCTCAGACTGTTGCCCCGCGACCCGACCTCGGATAAGCGGAAGAAAATGGATGGATGGATGGACAAATCATATTATTGTAGAAAAATGATGATTATAGAACTTCTCATTAAATGTTGGTATTAGAATTATTGTGAGAAAAAAAAAAAACAGAATTGAAGCTTTACTCAGGATTATTGAGCCCATTGTAGAACATTTATCTAATGTTATTGACCAGTTTGGTAGAATATGTGTTTCCGTTGTGCATAAATAGTATACTGAACCCAGTTTCTTTATTATTACACATTTAACACCCAACACCAAACAGTGTTAATCAGACAAATTCAATAATCATGAACATAAAATAAGAATAAGAATAAAATAATAAATAAGTCCAAAATAGCCCCTGCCAAAAAGAGAAAAGGTTGTATCCCCCGTCCTTTTGTCTTCAATAGTTGTATAATGACACTTTTTGTACTTGAATTGATTAAAAAAATGTCATTTTAATACTATTTTCCTATTTTAAGGCCATTTTCAAGCCAAATTTATTGTCATGGTCACTTTTTGCTTGAAAAACGGTCCATATCTGTGAAATGAAATAACATAGTGTATAAAGATGATTCAGATCTCTAAACCCATATCCCCTTAATACCTGAATTTATATACATATATCTAAAACAATGTTTTGTGCTGTTTTTGCTTTTAAGTAGATGGTAAATTAAGTTGAGGTTATTAATTTGACTATAATAAATAGAAATTGTTTAACTAGAAACAAATACTTGCCAATGGTATATTTATATTATTTATTTTCATTTATGTTTTTCTCTTCAGTAAAGTTTGTCTAAGTCTAATGAAGACAGAAAGGTTTAATGTCGTACTGTAAACATTCCACAGCAGTAACATTTCCATGGAGAAAAGAATGTGCCGGACCCTGCACCAGAAAAGTAACACAATGCACCTTTGAATTAAAATGGTAAAAAGTCATCATTAGTTTGCAGTTTCTGTGTGTGTTTTTTTAGTGTTTTTATTCTTTAATTTTCACATTTTAAAACACACTTCCTGTTTGTCTGTTTGTTCCAGTGGCTTTAAGTGACTGCTCTGATCACAGAAGGTTTGTGTTCAGCAGTGAAGACTCCAGATTCTCCGTTCAGACCGACGGCGCGATCACGGTGAGAAACTGATCAAAACAAACGTCCTAATGTAGTTTCCTCATCACAAACAAACCTGGAGTTGTGTTTTGTTTCATAAACACATGTTTGAGTAACTCTTTACTCTCCAAAGCTCCAAACGCTCTGTTCCACCTTGTGATGTCATGTGGTAATAAAGGAAGTGCTCCACTAACTTTCACTAGAATCATTTGGATGATTTCAGTCCTGGAACTGCCAATCTGAACTGAACTAAAGATAAAAGGAGCTGTTCACTTGAAAACTACCACTTCGTGACATCACAAGGTGGAACAGAGCTTTAGAGATGGATTTAATTCCGTTCCAGTTTTGGTTAAGACCTGGTTTACTCCTTGTTTAGTCCTTGCTTTTGGACATGACAGACTAATAATATAAAAATAAATATTGTCCAGTCGTGATGTGTAGATGAGGCCTCAGTGTGTGTCACATTTCTAACACTGTTCTACAGCGCCATCTGCTGGTTTAAACACTGAACTGCTGCCTCTGCAGAAGCTTTGACGCGGTGCAGGGCTCGATCATTCTTATAACATTCTTTATATTATTTAACTTAATAAGTTTAATACCATACTGTGGAACATTCCTGGCTTAACCCAGCAAAGCAGTAACAGTGTAACCACAACCAGAGAAGCTGCACAGTGCAGCTCTGATTCTTTAACACCTTTCATCAATTACATGTATTATTTTTTTTAAGTTTAATTTAGTGAAAGGTTTAAAGCATCAGAAAAACTGTGTCTGCATTTTGGATTTTCCTGTTGATGACACAGACAGAGGGATTCTGTTTTACAACTCAGTGCAACCTCCTTTTATTTTTCTTCTCATTTTTTTTTCACGATCTGCCTCTTAACCTTTTACCGACGTATTGTCACGATACTAACATGCTGATTCTGATTCCACAATGATAATCATTTTACAAAACTTTCTTTTGACAATATCCTGTGATTTTCTACATTGAATTGTAGTACAGTTTTTTTTGTTTTTTGTTTTCATGGTTTAGGTGTTTCCAACTTATATATTAAAATATAAAATATAACAATATTATACTATATTTAAAATAATATAACATGTTTGTTATTTTCCCACTGAAAACCACGAGAGGGCGCTCTAGGCTTGTGTGCCAGGGTCTGCTACTCCTATTACTCCTGTACCAGTGAAAATTGAAAATTGAAACATCAACTTATGAAGACGACTGAGAAAGACTGAACACAAATGCCCCCAAAAGAAAATCATATTCTGCAGATTTCAAACTGCAAGTGATGAAATCTGCAGCTGAAAACTGTAATCGAGCAGCAGAAAGAAAGTTTGGAGTGAGCGAGAAAGTCGTGGGACTGTCAAAAAGCAGAGGATACTCCAAATGCAATGAAAAAAAAAAAAAAAAACTAATCATGGGCTAAAAGCCAGATGACCACAGCAGCTACAGGAACAAGTTCACAAATGGGTGCTAAAAAAAGAAAACAAAAAAACAAAAAAACTAACAAAAAAACTCAACCCCCCTCTCAAAAAAACAAAAAAATAATAATAATAATGGGTGCTTGAACATTAGCTACTGAAAAACAGCAACTAATCAAAATAATCTAAATCATTTGCAGGACCTTCTTGGTGTTATCACTTCATGTCATAGTTTCATGCAACACAACCGCCTCTATCTGAGCACAGACAAAGATGTCGTGAAAAGTGATTTTAGTGATTTGGAGTGAGATGGAGAGTTTGGTAAACTTGTTCTGTTGTTTATGCTCTACTTATCTGAAGAACTGTTCATGTTACGTTAACATACCAGACGCTGATTTAGCCTGTTGTTCTCTGTTCTGTTCTGTTGCTTTTCAACATGAAATGTCTGTTCATGGTCTCTGATTTTATAAAATACATTTCCCCAGAAGATGCGACTTAGTCCAGTGCGACTTGTGTATGTTTTTCCTTCTTCATTATGCGTTTTTTGGTTGGTTGACTTGAGAGTGAGTTATTGTCCTGAAAATGCAGTATTTTCTTTTCTATTCCCATGTGTCCTTTTCTCTGTGTAATCTCTCTGTGGTCCACGGGCGTTTTCTGCTTTTTACTCATTTATTTTCTTTGTTTAAATCTTTAGGTGAAGAGACATGTGGTTCTACACGAAGGACACAAGGACTATTCCGTTCACGCCTGGGACAAAGTCACCACCTCCACCCGAGTGCAGCACCAGGGGCATCACCAGCACAACTGGGACCACGGGCATCACCAGGGAAACCACGAGAAGCATCATCAACACGGACACCAAACTGAGGTAGGGATTTCACTGTTAAAAGGCCTGTGTCATGCTGTTCCCTGATCTGTCCTCGTCCAGGTCTGTTTTGAGGAGGAACAACATTAGAACATGATGTTAAGCTCATAAGAGTCACTTTTGTGTGATATTTAAACAAATAGTCTCCATTTGACCGTTCAGAGTCCAGCTGTTGCTGTTGTTGCTGTTGAAGATGCTCCCAGCCCCCACAAGAGAGAATCTGTAAGAGACATTTTATTTTCACACATTTCAGAGCATGTTTGTACAGGCCTAAACTTACAGAGTGAGCAGTTTTTATGCAGAATAAGACCAGAGATTTTCTTGTTTGTGGAGGAGATTCTGATACTGCCCCATTTGTTAGCTTCATATTAGATTTATTTTAATTTAAACATCCATTTTTTCAGCTGGAAGAGGATGTGGTCATTTACTTTCCCAAAGCGACTAAAGGTCTGAAGAGAAGGAAGAGAGACTGGGTGATCCCTAACATTAACGTGCCCGAAAATGACAGAGGACCTTTCCCCAAGAAAGTGTCTCAGGTGAGGAGGAGGGAGACCGAGGCTGATTTTAAGTTAAACTTGACTGTGTCCCAGATACGATGTAAACATGTTCAAATTAAATACAGTTTTTACTGAGAACAACTCCTGAGAGCTCTTTTATCATGGGAATAAATACATCAAAAATATTGAGCTCAAAATGTCCCTTTGACCTTATTTGTCAGTTCCTGTTCTGTGCCTTTGTATCATGAGCCTAAAATAAGGAGTTGTGCAAAGGCCAAAAGAAGAAACTGTGTGTGTTTCGTTTGTGATTTAGTTCTTATTTTTTAGTTTTATTGTAAAATCCAACCTCTCACCTCCTTCTTTTTGTTGCGGCCTTGGCAGAGGTTCCGAACACATTAAATAAATAAACCTTTGTATTCAATTACACTTCAATGATCTTTAAAGTCAAAGTATTTGGTGTATTTATTCGTACTGTAGACACTAACTGTTTGACTGTAAGTGTCTCCACACGATCCTGATCAACACTAAACAGGAAATCCAAACCTCTTCTATATCATTTCAAACAAACACACGAGGACTCGACCTTGGTGAGGGGTTTTTCTTATAATGGATGGAAGTCTGGGCAAAATCAACCAAATAATCATCTTTAATTTGATTTCTTTTTATTCTTTTTAAAGACAATACAGTCAAGTGTATTTACCTTGTTGACATGTTTCGGCTGCTACGTGTCGTGATATACGTGTCATATATCAGCTGTTCTTACTTCCTGTAGGTGTGGTCAGTCTGATGCACCTGGCAAATAATGCCCATGTCAGTTTCTGCCTTTGGCTTTTGCCTGACTCCTTATTTTTGTCTCATGATACAAAGGCAGACACAGGAACTGACAAATAAGGTCAAAGGGACATTCTCACACTCTGGAGAGTTAAGATCTTTGCCTTTGTAGGGCAGAACTGTAATGCTGATTTATTCAAAATTACAAAAACACTGGACATGATGTCACATTTATTTATGATTCTCAGGCCGATGATCCAATCAGAAAACAGAATGAGCCTCACACGAGTCTCTCGTTTGGGTTGCCCGTTTCAATGCTGAAATCCAGTTGGATTCCAGACAATCTTAAAACTTTTTTGTGCATTGTGTCATCATGGAAACTGCTGAAAATTCCACCAGAGACATCCATGTAGAACACCCCCAGCATGATGTCACTGTAAAGTATCAGTATGTAAATGTGTTCATGTATTTTCAGATCCGATCATCCGACGACAGAGACCGTGTGATCTACTACAGCATCACAGGCCCCGGAGCAAACCTGCCTCCTGTCCACCTCTTCACTATGGACAAATACACGGGCATCCTGTACGTGACCCGGCCCCTGGACCGAGAGGTCCAGTCCCACTACACTGTGAGTACTGCACTACTGCACTGTGACTACTGCACTACTGCGCTGTGACTACTGCACTACTGCGCTGTGACTACTGCACTACTGCGCTGTGACTACTGCACTACTGCGCTGTGACTACTGCACTACTGCGCTGTGACTACTGCACTACTGCACTGTGACTACTGCACTACTGCACTGTGACTACTGCACTACTGCACTGTGACTACTGCACTACTGCACTGTGACTACTGCACTACTGCACTGTGAGTACTGCACTACTGCACTGTGACTACTGCACTACTGCACTGTGACTACTGCACTACTGCACTGTGACTACTGCACTACTGCACTGTGACTACTGCACTACTGCACTGTGACTACTGCACTACTGCACTGTGACTACTGCACTACTGCACTGTGACTACTGCACTACTGCACTGTGACTACTGCACTACTGCACTGTGAGTACTGCACTACTGCACTGTGAGTACTGCACTACTGCACTGTGAGTACTGCACTACTGCACTGTGAGTACTGCACTACTGCACTGTGAGTACTGCACTACTGCACTGTGACTACTGCACTACTGCACTGTGAGTACTGCACTACTGCACTGTGAGTACTGCACTACTGCACTGAATACTACACTGTGACTACCTCACTTTAATGTAAGAGTCAGATTAAACTACGTTGAAAGTAGGAAGTCAAGTTTATTTGTACAGCACAATTTGTACACAAAGTCATTCAAAGTGCTTTATAGAATAAGAATTACATTAAAATCATAATAAAACAAATCAAAACATAAATAATCATCATAAAATTAAAGAGAGAGAGATAAAATTAGAGAAGAGTGCAGAATGAAAACCTTTCAGTCGTATGCAGCTAAACAGAACTGTTCTGAGCCTGGATTTAAACAGAGTCAGACTGGAGGCCCTTCTCACATCTTCAGGAAGAATGTTCCAGCTTTTAGTTGCATGAATCTGAAACACTGACTGTGTTTCGTCCTGACTCTGGGCACCAGCAGGAGGCCGGGTCTAAACCAGAACCAAACCTGGACTAGAGCAGGAGGTCGGTCCCTGAGCTCCTCATAGTGCAGCTGGTTCATGTGGCACTAACATGTCACAGATGGACTTTGTTTGTACAATCTCTCCATGGTCAAGCACCAGAGACCTGAGCCACAGGGGCGGGACAGAGACCTGAGCACAGGACGTATGTTCTCGTACTTCCTAGGTCGAGTCAGGACCCGAGCTGCAGCGTTCTGGATGTTCTGCAGCGTCTCACAGCTCGTTTGGAGAGGACAGTGAGAGGAGTCTAACCTACTGATGACAATAACAATAATGATGCATCAGTTTTATACGGCGCTTTTTTGTCCACTCAAAGACACTTTACAGAGCATTATTCAGCATTATTCTTTCACTCCAGACCCGGCAGTGGTAAACTACTACTGTAGCCACAGCTGCCCTGGGGCAGACTGACGGAAGCGAGGCTGCCAATCTGCGGTCTCTCTTTTAGACAGTAAACCTTTGATTTTTGCTGTTTTTTCAATGGTAAAATTTACAGATGTTATTGATTTGATGTGGCTGTTAAAGTTCAAGTCTGAGTCCATTATTATCCCGAGATTTCTCATCTTTTTTTGAAGGTTTTAGAGAGAGAGACTGGAGGTGATGCTCTGTCTCTTTGTTTCTGTGGACCAAACACTCAGTCTTGTCAGAGTTTAGTTGGAGAAAGTTGTTTTGCATCCACACACTGATCTGTTGGATGCAGTGACAGAGTGAGTCCACTGGTTCATAGTCTCCTGCTGTCAGAGAGACGTAGATCTGAGTGTCATCTGCATAATTGTGGTAGGACACATTATTGCTGCTTATTAACTGGCCTAATGGCAGCATGTAGAGATTGAACAACAGGGGGCCCAGGATCGACCCCTGAGGCCCCCACAGGTCAGGGCCATGTCATCTGAGACACAGTTTACAATTTCAACAAAGTACTTCTTGTCTTCTAGATAGGACTTGAACCAGTTTAGTGCAATAGCTCAGATGCCCTCCCAGTCCTCTAGTCTCTGTAAGAGGATCCCATGATCGACAGTGTCAAAAGCAGCACTCAGATCTAACAGGATCAAGACTGAGACTTTGCCTGCATCAGTGTTCAGGCGGATGTCATTTGTCACCTTGATAAGATCAGACTCAGTCCTGTGTTTGGCTCTAAAACCTGACTGGAAAACATCAAAGGAGTTGTTCATTTGGAGAAAGTTCATAAGCTGTTGGTAAACAGTTTTTTCAAGGACTTTGTCAAAAAACGGCAGATTTGAGATGGGTCGGAAATTGTTCAGTCCTGTGACATCAAGACTGCTCTTCTTTAGGAGAGGCTTAATGAGCGCCGTTTTCAACGCGCTTGGGAATGTTCCAGATTGAAGTGACATGTTAACAGTTTCACTCGCTCACATAGTTGAGGACGGATTTTAGAAATCTAGTGGGTAACATGTCGAGGCAGAATGTGGATGAACTCAGACTGGTGACGATCTCTAAGACACTTTTGTCAGTTACAGGTGCAAAGTACCTGTGACAAAGTAGGTTTGAGGTCATTTTGACCCATTTTCCACTTTAAATGTAGTTAATATGATGAAGTGAGATTCAGGAGCAGGACCAGGCCTCAGCCGCTCTCTCCTCTCACCAGCGAACCACAACTCACCTCAACCACACCTCTAATTTCCCAGAAGCCTATAAGTAGCAGCCTTTCCCATCAACCCAGTTTGTCTCTGTTAACTCGAGCCCACCCTCCCACCCCCACTCTTGGTCGTCTTTCAGTCATAAGGCGCCTACGAGGGGGGTCCCTTTCCGGCTGGGCCAAATGTAGATTGAGACGGAGCCCCCACCCATAGTCACAAAGTCCTGGGTTCTGTTTATTTTGGTTATTCTTGAGTTACATGATCACACTCCACAAAGAGACTTTATTTGCTAAGTTGATTTCATTTAAATACATTCAGACTGACTACTTACCTGGTCCTCCATCTGAAATTTGGCAAAAATACCTCCTTTTTTCTTCCTCCTCCTTTTGGCTGACCTCTGAGAGCCACATCATTAGGTCAACTACAAGGACCAAAGAGGAGGAAGGAGCAGTGAGGAGAAGGAGCTATCGCTGCTTTAGATGGGAACAGTATCTGTTCAGTAAAACAACAGCTCCCAGAAAACGGACTACAGCCCGCACCCCATCCTTCGCTTTCCTGTTCTGTCTTATTTTCCTCTCTCTCCTGCAGTTTGAGGCTCATGCAGTAGCAGAGGGTGCTGGTCAGGCTGAAACCATGGAGCTTAAAGTCATCGTGATCGATCAGAATGACAATCGCCCCGTTTTCCATAAAGACACCTACGTGGGCGAAGTGGCCGAGTCTTCACCCCTCAGTAACTATCTGCACTTTACAGTACAGACACATACGTCCTCACATCGATTATGCATCATTTAACTGTGTTTTTTTTCTTATTAAAAACATTTAAAAATAGCTTTCAATGTTAAAGTGCATCTGACCGGTTAAACTCCACATTTACTCAAACATACTTTACATGTATTATTCTTATTATATTTTAGGATTTTTAAAAACTTTATGTTGGTGTTCATAATTTGACTTTCTGGTTGGATGTAATTCCATCACTGTTAAGTAGTAACCGAAACATAAACAAGGGCAAAAATGTGTCTAATTTTCATAATAGTGAATAATGATTAGACTGATTAGACTGATAAAAATAGATGATGCCTTTATTTTGTTAAATCAGTGTTTCATCTTACAATTTTTAACCTTTTTTCCACAAACTGCCTCCAAACAAAGTAACTCCAACTCATAACTCTATCTTCCATTTATTCAAATATGGATTTATATTGCTCAAAAACTCCCTGAAAAAACTGGTATTTTATGTGCGTACTCGCCTCTCCACAAATCTGACCTGTAACTTGGCTTAGTGCATTAACCTGCTTGTCTCCTGATGGGACATTTGTTGGAACATTCCAGGCAGAGCGCTAACATCTCCATATTTCACCTGTTAAATTACAAATCTGATTTTGTTTTCTAGACTTCGAGATCCTCCAGGTGACGGCCACTGACGCGGATCAGCCTGGGACTCTGAACGCCGACCTCCGCTACAGAATCATCGACCAGGAGCCGAAGTCTCCCGCACCCGACATGTTCACGATAAATTCCATCACCGGCTTCATCCGAGTGAACGCACGAGGACTGGACCGAGAGGTGAGGCTCTTTACACGACACTACTCACAATATGTCGCAATACAAATATGTCGTACGCTGAGATTCACAATAAACGCCACTGGATTTGAATGCAAACGCACTATCCACTGAACAACCAGCAGATGGCAGTGTGGTGCAGCCACAGCACTTTTCCAGACAGCTTTTGATGCACAAATGTGTGTTTTTTTGGTTTTTTTTTTTTTTTGTAGTTTTTTTAACAGCCAATCAGGGATGATCAGTTTACGTCACTCTCCTCCACTGCACAGGCTGGTTGCAGAAAGAGCCGCTGTCTTGTCTTTGTGCTGTTGGATGCACAAACCATTTTGATAAAAGCAACAAAATAAGTAAGTTTTACAGAATTCCATAAAGCCGCACATCTTTCAAGGCAAACAAGAGCCGTGTTTGGTTACAAGCATCAGAAGAAGTGATTAGAACAAGCAGATGATTAAAAATGCACTTAAAAATGAATCTTACCGGTCGAACACGGACACATTAAATATCTGTTCTCCTCCTCTTTCCACGGCTCAATCTTCTGTCTCTTCTTTCTTCTCCATGTTCCACACACAGGTTTTCTTTGATGATTTTCCCCCATGTGACTTGATGAACCTGCTCTCGTCCACTATGTTGTCACGGTTCACTAAGAAAAAACAAGTTTTTCTTCGTTCCTGTCGGGAACGAACATTCCGATTCCCAAACGCTCTGATTTTCAGCGTGAATACATCAGTTGGTTTGATATTACATGCGGGAACCAGCACCTGCACGATTCTGTCGGTCTTTAAACAGCTAACTGAGCTTCATTTGACTGGAGCCGAATGCTCTAGATGACATTACACTCACTTTGTCCACTTGTATATACAGTCTGTGGTCACATCTGCTGCCCAGTGCCCGCGTGTGCCCAGTGCCCGCGTGTGCCCAGTGCCCGCGTGTGCCCAGTGCCCGCGTGTGCCCAGTGCCCGCGTGTGCCCAGTGCCCGCGTGTGCCCAGTGCTTGTGACAGATGTTCTGTGTTCTGGTCTCTTTCAGAAAAACCCAAAGTACACTCTGGAGATTGACGCGGCCGACATGGTAGGAGAAGGACTCATCGGGAGAACCAAAGTCATCTTGACCGTGACCGATAGCAACGACAATCCACCGATCTACACGGAGAGCCAGGTGAGGCCCTTCGAGAGGCTTCCAGAGGTCTAGCCCCCCTGCCCCCCTCCTGTCGAGTCCCCCGGTCTTATATGGTCTATTTTCAGTTCACAGCCACTCTCCCTGAGAATAAGGAGGGTGCCTTGGTGGCAAAGATGTTGGTGACGGATCAAGATGAAGCCCACACTTCCACTTGGAACGCCAAATTCACCATCGTCGACGGCAACCAGAATGGGCTCTTCGCCGTGGCAACAGGCGTCAACAAACAGGAGGGCATCATCACCACGGCGAAGGAAAAATATTTAATGCCTTTTTTTGGGACAGATTTTATGTTAATAATAATAATGATGCATAAAGCCCATTCACGGGACATCACACATGTAGAATCTCTGTTGATACTTTGCAGCCCGTGTTCTAAACAGTGTAGCTTGTCTGAAAACACAAAAGTTATTTAAAGAGCACATTTTCAGGAGCCTGAGATCAGTCTGAGTGTTCATGGTTGTGTTTAGGAGTTTGATTTTCAACAAAAAAGTGAGTGTGATAAACTGAAAAACAGTTGGTTCTTTCTGGCCAGATTGTGTTAAATTTCAGATTAAAGGCTAACAAACTCTCAGACAGAGCAGTGCTTACAGTTACACAGCCCCAGTGTTGATGACACCAGCTGCAAAGTATCAAGAGCTCTATAGAGTCTTGCCTCTGAAACTATGGCGGAGTTTGAATGTCTGCACTATTCCCTAATTAGTGCAGTGTATAAGGGTCACGGAATTTTCAGGGATGTACGAATGTCCACTTAGTGAAAAAGTAGTGCACTAAAAATTTTCTACAATGCACCTTGAAAAGGTGCATTGTGAGCATCGGTATCACTAGAGAGGTCAATATAGACCACAGTGCACTGGGAGAGTCGGGAAAACAACGCCGTTCAGCGGAAGGTGTTGAAATGGACACAACACGACTGAAAGAAGCAGATTAGAGCGCTGGTTTATGGCTCTGTAGATCCTGATTCTGAATAAAACATGACTAAGGCTGCGTTCAGACTGCAGCCTGAAGTGACCCAAATCTGATTTTTTGCCCCTATGATCCTGTGTCTGATCTTTTAATGACAGTCTGAACGACACAGATCCGATCTTTTTCAAATGTGACCCAGGACACTTGGATATGTGCTCCTGAAACTGATACATATCTGATCTTTTGACATGTGACTTCAGTCTGAATGGCCAAAGTGCATTCATCCACCTACACGTTATCAACAAGACACAAACATCACTATTCTGCGCTGAAGTAGGTGAAAATTTTTAATGAACTCCGTGTCACTGAAGCGAAGCACATCACCACTCACTACTCTTGGTTACGTCTCCACATCCACACGTTCCTTTCAACGGACGTTACTGCTGCTGCCACTGCTCTACAAAACACCACGGCCAAAAACCTCGTCCTTCTCCTTCTCAATCTCTTTAAAACAAGTAAGTTGTTCATGTTCTGGCTCTGGTATGAGAAGAACTTTAAAATCTCCAGATGCTCAATGCTGCGTCCATGTTTGGACAACTTCCGTAAACACAGAGCACGCTCGCTGCGGTTGATGCCGTTGTGTCTCCAGTGCACATGTGGGACACTTTCGGGCCGTTTAATGTTCAAACTGGAGTCACATACAAGTCACATTTAATTGGAAATGTGAACGACCTCGCAAAAACATCAGATTTCACAAAAAAATCTGAATTGAGCGTTAAACCCTGCAGTCTGAACGTAGCCTAAATAAAGCATTATGCATTTAGTGGTGTGAGACAAACAGCAAATAATCAAAAAAAAAAAAAAAAAAAGTCAGTCAGTTTGTGTGAAATCCACCGTGATAAACTTGTGTGATTCTTATTAGGCAATAAATGGTCTGATCTGTTCATTATTTATGACAGAAATCAAGTTTTATCAAAGTTTTTATCAGAGCCTTTAGACTTGTTTTCATCCAGATGCCAGAGTCACATGACCTGAACGTAGTGAGTTGAGAGTCTGAATCAGTGATTGCATTGTAGGGGGCGCTAAAGAGTGCGGGCCTGTATAGTAATGGTGAGGTTTTAGGGACTAGGGTGGACATTCGGACACAGCCCAAGATATCTCCTCTGTCCTCAGGGCCTGGACTTCGAGAAGACTCAGAGGCACAAGCTGCTGGTCGCCGTGGAGAACGAGGTGCCCTTCGCCGTCCCTCTGCCCACGTCCACAGCGACGGTCTTCATCACAGTAACGGACATAAATGAGGTGCCCATCTTTGAGTCGGTCTTAAAGAAAGTCTCCCAACCCGAGGACCTGGCCGTGGACCAGAAAGTGGTCCTGTACACTGCCTACGACCCTGATACAGCACGCAATCAGACAGTCATGTGAGTCCTGGTTTAGTTTTGGAATAGTCCCTGGTTTAGTCTTTGTTTGAGTCTTCCTGTATGTCTCAGGTACCATACTGGTTTAGGTTTTGGTTTTGTTCTGGTTTATTTCTCGGTTTAGTCCTAGTTTAGTCCTTGATTGAGTCCTTTGTTTAGTTGTTGGTTTATTCCTGGTTTAATCTTTGATTTTAGTCTTTGATTTAGTCCTGGTTCGGTCCTGGTTCTTGAGTCTCTTGGTGTGTCTCAGGTACCGGATCGTGAGTGATCCAGCCGGGTGGTTAAACGTGGCCAAAGACACGGGTCTGGTGACGGTGAAGTCGCCGATGGACAGAGAGAGTTCGTTTGTGAAAGAAGGCGACATTTACACAGCTCTGATCGGAGCCTACGATGATGGTACGGATACTACTACTACTATTACTACTACTACTACCTGGTTGTGAGTGTAATGTGTCCTCCGGTCCAGACGAGGTGCCGGCCACAGGAACAGGGACTCTGGAGATTCAACTGATCAGCGTGAACGACAACGTCCCATCCATCAAAGACGGCAGCTTCACGGTCAGTACCAACGTTATTTTATTTTACATCTAAACTAAATGTGTTCTAGTGACAAGTTCATTTACACGTGCACGAGTGTCCGGTTATGAACCTTATCCCCAATTCACACCAAGTGTAAGAGCACGTACGCGCCACAGCACACACATACAAAAAAACATTTTAACAAATTAGACAGTTTACACCAGCAGTGTCATACGTGACATCAAGGGCCGTCATTACACTATGCGCTGTTAAAAATACGTCTGTTCCAATGTTGCAGCGTCAGAGCGGCTCCAGGCTTTTTCAGGGAAGGACAGGAAATTTGCACACGGTGTCAAAATAAACTTCCGATGCCCTTTCAAATGATGTTCTTTAAATTCACTGCAGTGGCATAAACAGAATGCATCGCATCAGGAGCTCGGAGAATGACTCGTGATGGACTACGAAAAGTTTACAGCAGAGGACACATATACCATAAAATACCAAATCATATCCGGGGCATTTATTTGTTTCACTCACTTAACAGACCAGGCATTTATTTGAGACCAGGCGGCTATTTGGGGCAGGCGATTAATCCTTAATCCTGGACTTTTAGTCAGATTGTGCAGATTTAAGTCAAAACTTGTGAACATGTGAAGAGACACAAAGAGTGTGTAAGTATTTATGTAGGTGTGTGTGTGTAAGTATTTATGTAGGTGTGTGTGTGTGTGTGTGTAAGTATTTATGTAGGTGTGTGTGTAAGTATTTATGTAGGTGTGTGTGTAAGTATTTATGTAGGTGTGTGTGTAAGTATTTATGTAGGTGTGTGTGTGTAAGTATTTATGTAGGTGTGTGTGTGTGTAAGTTATGTGTAGGTGTGTGTGTAAGTATTTATGTAGGTGTGTGTGTGTATATTTTTATGTAGGTGTGTGTGTGTGTGTGTAAGTATTTATGTAGGTGTGTGTGTCGGTATTTATGTAGGTGTGTGTGTGTGTGTGTGTGTGTGTATTTATGTAGGTGTGTGTAAGTATTTATGTAGGTGTGTGTGTAAGTATTTATGTAGGTGTGTGTGTAGGTATTTATGTAGGTGTGTGTGTTTAAGTATTTATGTAGGTGTGTGTGTGTGTGTAAGTATTTATGTAGGTGTGTGTGTGTGTAAGTATTTATGTAGGTGTGTGTGTAAGTATTTATGTAGGTGTGTGTGTAGGTATTTATGTAGGTGTGTGTGTGTAAGTATTTATGTAGGTGTGTGTGTGTAAGTATTTATGTAGGTGTGTGTGTAGGTATTTATGTAGGTGTGTGTGTGTAAGTATTTATGTAGGTGTGTGTGTTTAAGTATTTATGTAGGTGTGTGTGTGTGTAAGTATTTATGTAGGTGTGTGTGTGTAAGTATTTAGTGTGTGTAGTGTGTGTGTGTAAGTATTTATGTAGGTGTGTGTGTTTAAGTATTTTTGTAGGTGTGTGTGTGTGTAAGTATTTATGTAGGTGTGTGTGTGTAAGTATTTATGTAGGTGTGTGTGTGTAAGTATTTATGTAGTGTGTGTGTGTGTGTGTAAGTATTTATGTAGGTGTGTGTGTGTGTAGGTGTGTGTGTGTGTGTAAGTATTTATGTAGTTTTATGTGTGTGTGTGTAAGTATTTATGTAGGTGTGTGTGTGTAAGTATTTATGTAGGTGTGTGTGTTTAAGTATTTATGTAGGTGTGTGTGTGTGTAAGTATTTATGTAGGTGTGTGTGTTTAAGTATTTATGTAGTGTGTGTGTAAGTATTTATGTGTGTGTGTGTAAGTATTTATGTAGGTGTGTGTGTGTGTAAGTATTTATGTAGGTGTGTGTGTAAGTATTTATGTAGGTGTGTGTGTGTAAGTATTTATGTAGGTGTGTGTGTAAGTATTTATGTAGGTGTGTGTGTAAGTATTTATGTAGGTGTGTGTGTGTGTGTGTAAGTATTTATGTAGGTGTGTGTGTAAGTATTTATGTAGGTGTGTGTGTGTGTGTGTGTGTAAGTATTTATGTAGGTGTGTGTGTGTAGTATTTATGTAGGTGTGTGTGTAAGTATTTATGTAGTGTGTGTGTGTAAGTATTTAAGTATTTATGTAGGTGTGTGTGTAAGTATTATGTAGTGTGTATTTTATGTAGGGGTGTGTGTAAGTATTTATGTAGGTGTGTGTGTTTGTTGTAAGTATTTATGTAGGTGTGTGTGTGTGTGTAAGTATTTATGTAGGTGTGTGTGTGTGTGTAAGTATTTATGTAGGTGTGTGTGTAAGTATTTATGTAGGTGTGTGTGTGTGTGTGTGTGTAAGTATTTATGTAGGTGTGTGTGTGTAAGTATTTATGTAGGTGTGTGTGTAAGTATTTATGTAGGTGTGTGTAAGTATTTATGTAGGTGTGTGTGTAAGTTTTATGTAGGTGTGTAAGTGTGTGTAGTAGGTGTATATGTGTTAAGTAAGTGTGTGTAAGTATTTATGTAGGGGTGTGTGTGTTTAAGTATTTATGTAGGTGTGTGTGTGTGTGTGTAAGTATTTATGTAGGTGTGTGTGTAAGTATTTATGTAGGTGTGTGTGTAAGTATTTATGTAGGTGTGTGTAAGTATTTATGTAGGTGTGTGTAAGTATTTATGTAGGTGTGTGTGTGTAAGTATTTATGTAGGGGTGTGTGTGTAAGTATTTATGTAGGTGTGTGTGTGTAAGTATTTATGTAGGGGTGTGTGTGTAAGTATTTATGTAGTGGTGTGTGTAAGTATTTATGTAGGTGTGTGTGTAAGTATGTGTGTTAGTAGTTGTGTGTGTGGTGTGTGTGTATGTAGGTGTGTGTGTAGGTATGTCAATTCTTGTCGTACTCGTGCAGGTGAACATCACAGACAAAGATGGACCTGGGTTTGTGAACTGGACCACACATGTGAACGACACCAGTGAGTAACATGCTGCACGATACACACTACACTGTCAAAAGTCAGAACACTGATGTTGATCGGATATAATATATGTATTTAAAGGGATAGTTCAGGATTTTTGACATAAATCTGTATGTCATCCCCATGAGCAGTGTTGTGCATCCACACTGACTTACCCCGGACAGTGACCGGTGAGCCGAGTTACTGGCTCGGTGCTGACAAAAGTAGTCCGGCAAGTTGGCTGGGGACCTTAAAATAAAGCATTTTTCTTCTCAAAAGAATATGTGTTTAAAAGAGTGATACACTTGCATCACAAAACCATCGTTGCCTAAAAAGTCAGACCTCATAATCACTTGGCACTATTTTCTTTCCGTTCGTATCACTGCGCGCTGCCGCCAGGTGACAGCCGCGCACGAATCCATCACTTTCTTCAGTTGTTCGGCAGTGTTTACATGCACAGACCACCGCGACGTGAGAGAACTAACGAGAGACTTAGAGCCATAAGTATATAAGCTAGTATAA